CAAAGTAGGCGGTACGCCAAACAGCCACAGAACCCATGGGGGTGGCACTAGCCAGAAGTAACAGTAACTGTAACGAACGAGCTACCCCATTGCAATCCTGAATACTTAGATCCCTCTGTTGAATTATATAACAAAGGAAATCGCATCCGTGTCGGTAACTGACAGTTGAAAGTTTCATTAGAGACGTCCTCGGTTTCGCCTACCCGTTTCAACTTAAGCCAGCTAGTTGTCGTTTTAGCAATTGACCACATTTCTCTGACTCGAATACGATTCGGACACAATCCATAATTTCGGAAGGCCGACGGCGACGATGACGAGCTATTTCAAACGTCATTCGCAGCCTCTAAGCAACCATAACAGGTGTTCGTGTATGATGATTCAATATTATTAATCAGAAAAGAGTTACACAGGGTGATGCGTTTAAATCGGGGGAGACTTGACGGGAACGGGCATACACTCATCCGGTAGCCAATTCTTTTTAGTACAAACTCGTCATGTTTAGAATTGCTTTCTCCAATAAAATCGATAGCCTATGTATGTTATTGTCAGTTTTGATGCCCCGTCCGAAAAACTTCACGAGGCAAATCGAGAGATAAAAAAAAACCTTTTTTTGATATTGAAATTGACGGCTGGTTTAGAGAGGAGCATATATATATCATCAACTGCCGATTGCACCCTTTTAATATTTTTGCTCGTTTGCATAATTGTTTGAATTTTCCTTTCATTTCAGGATGAATGTATATTTGACTCTTTGGGCATTTTCCTACGAGTTCGCACCTAACGATAGACTTAGCGCACGGTAATTTGCGAATTAAAGTTTTTAAAGTTTACATTGAATAAGTATAATCGTCAGGAGTGACACATACAAACATTCTATAGAAATAGCTAATTTTTTTTCAATATTCAATTTTAAAAACTAAGCGTAAGAATAATTTTCAATTTATAAACGGCTGTAAATCATTCTTGTAACTTTGAGATGTTAAAGATATATTCTATATTTTTCTAGGGTATTGTCTATGCAATTAGCTTAATTAAGGGTAAAATAAAAGTTATCGTATAGAATCTATTTGGTCTAATCTATAGGTTGTACACCGCCAACTACATACTCGAAGCAAGATGGCTAAATGTACTGTGTTGCTTGCTCTAATCCTGCAGAACGCTAGCTCGCGACAAAGCCCAGGCGGGCCAGGTTCAACGGAAACTACATTCTGCCGATGTAGTCCTTGATCCTTTCTGCTCCTATTTTTAATATTAGCGCTCTGATACAGCTGAGCGACGAGTCACGCAGAGTTCGAATCCCTTCATCAAACACCAGATATTTCGCTACTCTTTACGGATCAAGGGACACACGCGAGCCAGTAGGTAGTTTACGGGTTATTTTTGCCAATGACCTCAAGAAGAGTTAGTATTGACATCGCCTGAATGGATTCGTCTCCATTAAGGCGAACATGCGAGGCAGTAAATTGTAACAGTCTATCGAATGTGTCGTTAGAAGGATGCGAGGAGCAGCGGTGACGCGTATTTAACGCCAGCATCTATTCCAAAATATTCATAAAGCATCCGGCCTGCTTGACCCGGTCAACTTGGCACTACACAACTTACGTAATCAAGACGAGCTAAGTTTGATTTAAAACAGGTGCCTCTCAGTGTGGTTGAAACACGTCGCGGGGTTCATTATGCACAACTTCGAAGCGGAGATAGCGTCGTTCTCTAACAATGAAAACCTAGGTCTCTAAGCCCAGTTTACTTAAGGTCGGCCAATACGTATCAGCATACACTATTCCAACAGCGGTAGGATAATTTATCTACAAATAATAATGAATAGCAAAACTCTAGTGCCATTATAGATGTTAGGTTATATAATGAATGAATATTTATTTACCTTAATGAAACCTAAGGTGGTGGCAAGAGTACCATAACAAGCTACAGGTCCAGTCTAGGGAAATACGAGGAAATTAAAAACAAGTTAAACAGCTGAATGTTCTATTTGGTTTTCGGCTAATATCTACATATATCACACGTAGTATAATAAAACCTTAATAATTGTTTAATTTTAGCATAGCAGTTAACGTGGAAATGAAAGGCAAAACTTCGGAAAGTATAGTCAATCATTCTATTCAAACTAAAAAATAGTTGGCCTGATTTGTAGGTTTAATCAAACTTTTACGATACCTATTGTAAGTGAAAATTACCTTCGGACGATATTTTTACTCAATTCTTAATCGTTTACGTTAGAAAGACATACTAAAAGACGCTATTTGTTTCGAGTTTCACGTCCGGTATGGGCGTTAGACGTTTCATCAGAGCACTGGCTCCTAATGCGAAACGAAGTCTATGCCCGAAATCGAACCTAGACCACGACATGCCCCTACGATGGTCGGGGACGAATACGTTACCCACTACGCTACTGCAAGGATGGTGGAAAATTCTATGTGGCTTCAACGAAACAATGTTGCCTGCCATTGCACGTTCGAGAGGTCAAGGTTATAGAAGGAGAAATCTGGTTAACGCAAAATTTCCCACCGGGCATTTCTCCGCTCCATAGCCGTGCCATTTGTGTGACTGGAAGACGTTGGAGTTTTTCGCATGAGCAAAGCGCTTTTTGCAAAGCGAAGTCCATATGTTAGATCCTCTATATTTAGGGAATTAAAAAAATGTATTTGATACTAGCCGTTAGCAACTACTTCAGGTTTCACTAACTAAAGTTATCGGAAACTGTGTTTCGCTTCGAGCCTGTAAAGAATCGGTCGCCTGAACGATAGTCTATTAAAAACATCGTAAAAACGAATGCTATTCATAATATGTTCTGGATATTACGCACACTCGACACACCGGAACCATTTATCACAGTTCGGAACTACTTCACAAGGCAAGCACAATGGAATATCATAAACTTCATTTAATTAACATAAAATACCATTTTGTATTATCGAATTTTGCACTTGAGCTGCGGAAAGGATAGGAGAATATTTAATAAAATTGCCATAGGCCAATATTTCCATTACTGGACGCTGTTCCAATGCTAGGCTTGAACTTAACCTATAGTGCGCCTTCACATAACAATAAGGACACCCAATGAAGTCTTAATGCTTACTGGAAATCAGCATTGGGTTCTACATAGATTGAATCAATCGTTTTTTACTTTAAAAATAACACAAAAGGGCACCTTTATTTAACGCAACCTCAGATAGCTAAATGAAATTAATGAGTAAAAATACGATTTCTGGGTGCAACCAATACGAAAACATACTCACCAGTCGCCATATTGCATCGTCCGGCTCACATTGAGTGTGTTTTATTTGCTTCTATCGCAGGCTGCACACCTCAAATTCCTACATTACACGCCTAATTCTAGGTTCCATCAAGCAGGTACTTTGAGGTTATCAGGGAGTATCATCAGCAGTCCGAAAGTGCTGCTTTCCAGGAAGCACGCAATTTCGGCCAAAATGACTAACAATGTAAAAATAATCATCTGCCTTGTGATGGAGGTCTTCAACAACTTCGATAACAAGAGCTATTTATCAAAAACATGTCTGTTTAATTACTTTTGGGAGTTTAACTATTATTCAGCAAACGGGTCGAGTTCTGTTCATACGCCGCTATTGTAGTTGCAAATGCTTCTATATCAGCGAGAAAAACTAACATACAAAAAGTTGTAACCAGAAGTACGCTACCGCCTGTTCATAAAAAATCTATATTATAATAATAATATAAAAAATTATAACAAATAATTAGTGACCGAATACATACCAAATCATAGTTGACGCTATACGTTCCAGTATAAGTAACGTCAATGAGTACGAATTACGATTGTATGGGTTTCTTTCAGCCTCGTCTTGGCACCGCCATTACGTGAGCCCATAATGTTATTCAGAGAATCAGTCTGTATATATCCCGTTGTCCATATACAGATATATGGATTACTGCTCCGTTATTTGAAACTGTGAAAAAAAATTAAAAGTCCTTGAATGCCGGGTCCTTTCAATTCAATCGTGTCTTAAGCAATACGTAAAATTCTTCTGCCTATTCTGTTTAGGATTTCTCGGCCACTGTAGATTACTACCACGCGATCTTTCTTACGCATCAACTAACTCGAACGTAACATACGTGTAGTCGTAGCGTATACGTGTAGTAATAAGCACGTTCTTCGCCATAACCCTACGACTCGACAAACGATTTCTTCGTAGCTCTGGGAGTCTGATGATAGAAAATTAGTTCATATAAATTTTCCCTTATCTGAGAGGTCGACTGTCTCAAACCCTGAGCTACGCTCCCCTAGTTGTAACGCCAACTGTCCTAAAACGATATGTCTAATTAGCTAGAGGGTCCCATAAAGTCGGGGACATATTTGTGTCTGCCATGGCTGTAGGTACTGCGAGCAGTTGCATATAGCTCTAAGTGCGCAACTCTCTACTAGAAAACGTCACTTGAAGTCTTTGGTCGGACTGGTGGAATGTAATAAAACGGAGCTGAAGACAAATTGGTCTTCGCGTCTGATGTGTACATAGGTATTGACACTTGGCTATATATAGCCACTGAGAAACGCTAAACAGAAGAGTAAAAGAAGGGGCAAAAGCAAGCGGGGAACAAAAATAAACCGGAGTCTCTCGGCCTCAAGCTCATATTTACGTTGATTCAGTGTCCTGTCGTTTGCTGCGCGCTACGCACGATGATACGCATTAGCAGACTCTAATAAAATCCTATTGATGTCTCAAATCCTCCGCTCTTGCTAGGCTTTTTCGTAAAGATCTCTGATCCCTTGTTAGCCACTTCGCCCCTTCTTGCAAACCGGAGTTCTTGCGTAGACACAGTGTACAACATTTTTAGATTTTTGGCTAAAATCCGGCAAATTACTAACAGGGCACACGAGAACTCGCGGAGTTACAATAGCAATACTTGGACTGTTATGGTCTAAAGGTAAATTATGACGATCCCTATATGCAGTGGTTATCTTTCGAGAATAACAAAGGTGACGGGATTGACATATTAATCGGTAATCGCTGCGACCCAAATGGGGACCGTGTAACTAACGTGAGCATTAAAGCGCATTGACACATTGTCAGTGTACGAAATTTCCCTTTAAAATGTAGTAAGTATCGTTGTATATAAGTACACTTTTTATCCGTAAACTTTCTGAGTTTTATAAAATTGCGCAGTATACCATTTTATAGCATTAAATAGGCTTGGAAGTAGATGGAGAAAATGCTCAATGAGAAAATTATTTCGGTATTTTCGCCTAACGCCCTGCTAAGTCGGAGACTATCTGCCAGTAAAACCGTTCTTTTTTTTTTGTGATTTAAGTTATTGATTGGACAAAAGCGGACATTACGACTAATGTATTCAACTGGCCCCTAATTAGCCAATGCAGACGTGTTAGCATCGAGAAATTCGGCCATTTCAAGGATACATCCTCCCACGTATTTCTTACCTTGTTGTCACCTGTTTTTTTTATTGATTAGATTCATGTATAATTATTGTACTCAATACAGACAGCATGTTTTGTGCTAAGTAAAAAAAAAAAACCTACACCCAGTGATGAATCATACGGATACTCAACAATTGAGTCATATGCAATTGGTGTGAATTTGGTATTGCGATTTACGTCCGGTAGATTTCGGCTTGCTCACAGCGCAAAATAAAATGTGCTAACGTCCGGATTCGATCCCACACAACTAGGCATAGTTTTCACGCTTAAATGTTTAGCCCGCTGAGCTATCATAGGCATGCTAGATCTAAGTCTCTAGTTTTGATCTAAATTTGAAGTTGAATGTTTGCACAACCCGTGGATCTGCTACAAGCGTTTTCGATAGATGCTCTCAAACGGTCCTTGTAAGTGGCTGATTTATATACATACGTTAGAAAAGTGTTGATTCACTTCCACGACGTTGTCAGCGAAAAAAATCGCAGCACCTCAGCAAATTAATAGGACATATTTGACATCTTTAATGAGATGTAAATTTGTCGGATTATCTACTAGTGAACGTACAGTAACTGTATACCCATTTCCTGCTGTCATTTTCTAGAGCAATTGTTATGTTGAATACATCTATCAAGTACTCGGGCTTTACCAGTAAATCGGGCTATACTATTCGCTTTGCCCCTTGTTAGGCCTTGTCATCGTTTGCTATTTGCCCGTAGATGATTTCTTTCTAAAAGCCTGGAGTTTCTGTTGCACAGAATTGTGGAAATCGATATCGAATCGGTGACGTCAAGCCAAATAAGGATCGCGTATAATCAGGTCCGAGGAATAATCCAAGACAATGTCGCACATCATTATGGGGCGATACAAGATGCCGTAAGGCGGAATATATATATTAGTGGAAACACTGAGCTACTAGATTTGAATCTGCAGACCTAATACCGCGGCAGTCGCGCACTTTATTTAGCAACTAGACTGATACGACCTTCGATTAGGCCCAGAGTATTCTTTTCCAGAAGGCTAGTTCGAGACCTAATTATCAATATAAATCTTTGTAGCAGATTGTCTGACTGAAAATTATTCGCAAAATACGTAGCCTTAACAAATTAGCTGTAGCAATTCCACACAGAATTTCTACAAATCTGTGAGGTCACAACTTTTTCTGCCAATCATACAATCAAGTTGTTTGTTATCTTTTATCAATGCATTGATGGTAACAGTAAAGATAATAACGCCAATGCGGTCGCGGTGCCTCGTATTTCCTGTTTGCTGCGAATAGACAAACTCATTAAAACAATATCTTGGACATTAGGGGCCTGCATGCCGATTCTGTGCAAGACAAGAAATAGATATTATTGCATCGAATAGCGCCTACTTTTTTGTACATTTAACTTTAGGATCAGGCTAAATACACAGCAACTTGGCTTGACCATAGATTAATAGGAATGGAATGATACCGCTCCTTATCTAAAGAACGTTAAATATATACGCTCGGCTTTCTATGCCCAGATCGACTAATTGATTTTATAACTTACTAACTTAACAAACTTTAAAATCTGTTCTCTACTACTTGATACACTTGCATAACTAGCTGGTGCCATTTGCGGACAGAACAAGTGGTAATCACAACGGGGTCATCTGAATCTAGTTATGCATGGGCCAATGGAACCAGTGAAGAAACTGCTAACGTTTTTGCAAAAAGGGCAAGCGTCTCCATTTTGTGTATAGCCGTTAAAACGATATAGTCCCGTTCTTTTTTCTGAATTGAAATTACATCACACTCCTGACTAGTAATCTTTTTCGTGTTGGTCATAAGATCAATTGATTATCCTATCCCTTTCGAGTACTAGTGAAGGCTGGTTTGGCGAGCGAAACTTCGCCGTGTGCTTTTTTGAAGATTCTTCTTTTGGGAATACAGGAACTGATAGACGGTCCGCCGTTCAGAGGAAATGATCGCAATCAAATAACGAGACGGCAGAGAGTGCACGACTGTTCAGCTGAACGCCTCCTCAAACCAACCACCCCATTTTGCTTTAACCACCCTAAACACCGAACAATCAGAACCTGCCGCTGTAAGAAACAGACGTTGCTGATATATCATGGTATCTAAAACAAAGGATGAGTGCAGATAACCTTTTCGAGTTCCACCGGCTTCATTCACCCGATCCCTTGCACAGGTTTGTTGACCTACTTTAATCTTTCCCTTGCCTGTCCTGTAGGGTCTGACACCGACCTGGTTAGATCACTGCTCTAGAACATTGCTGCTAGCAATATGGGTGGTGTGCCTTAACGCCGAGCATCCAGTTGCGAAGAATGGTTTTATCGATTCTCTTTCACTATCTTTTTGCCAGGGATTGTAAAAAGTGCTTCTCAAACGTACCAGTTAGGATGCTTACATCAAGCTAGTCGTTCAACCCCAGCGAAACCCCAGCATACGCCCGTTATGAATTTAATTCGACCTACATAGGGTATTCTACGAGAAGAGATTCTACGATTACCCTAGAACTCGGCAAAACATCACCTGCGGACTGCATAAAAAAATCAAACGTGGACATGGATACTAGCTTGCTAATGCCCCTTGGTCTTCTTCCTTTTCCGAGGCATGCCTCAAAGTGTTTTTGTCTATCAAATATAAAGTTCTTCGAAAAGACTAGATTAGGTTTAGAGCAAAAAATATCAACATAAAATATCGAGCGTTCCTGCTATTTCGGTGCAATACCGCAGTCCAATTGAATGATCCGGTATTCTCGCGGTCCGGTTTTTAGAAGCGCGAGTATATAGATTCCATTCGTTCTCCTTTTGCCTGTCTCTGAAAATTAATATACATAGATGACCATGGAGCAGATATAGCAATTAGGTATGAATTAAAAAATTGAACCAATCAGGAGCCTTATGCAAATCTACAGTTTAAGCAAGACAGAGAGTTTTCAAACTTTCCCGCCGATCGCATGATCTTAAACAGCGAAAGCAGGCCAAAATTGGTATCCTGTATGCGTAATCTATAATGGATGCTATTGTAGAGTTTACTCACATTCGAATAATCACCACCTACTGTAATACTACTTAGATGGTACTATACAATCAATTTCATTTTATTTAAATTGTACAATTTAGAATAGATTCATAATTTGGTGTCTCGAAAACGACGCGCACGCCACGATATCAATAAACCGTTAGTTAGATTACATCAATTAGGCCAAAGCTGCAGGTTTGCAGCTATTAATGGCCATTTAATATTGTATTTTTGGTTAATATTGGCTAAGTAATTCATTGGTAAATCATCATTTTTCTCACCCGAGTTTTTAACAAAACAAATTGCGTTGTAAAAAACGAAAACAAAAAAAAAAACCTAAAATTATTAGTCCTACATATGCGAGTCGTCAACACTTTTGTGATACTCATAGGAAGAATCTTCTGCTTTACAAAAATATGGGCAGCAATGATTGTGTGATAAATCCGGTCGTCGACGGCAGTCGTTGGGACGTCAATGAGCATCGTTGACGTATTTAATTATACTGAGTGCGATTAATTTATGTCTTTATATGACCCCTGGAGTCCACTGAACTGTAGAATGGGTATAAATAAATGTTTCGAAGCGACACAAGCGTTAAGCACTGCTTTGAACAGGATGGGAGATGGACACTGTCGGATAAAACTTCCGTTATTATATTAGACGTTTACTTATTATAGTCATATAATGCGTTAGACTGTGGTTGTAAGCTCACGTTGTCATCACTTTGCAGTTACAGTGTTATAGGGGACCTGAATTAATTATGCTGCATGTTACTGGGCCTTCAGAAGGCTCCAAAGCAAACAACAATATTCTAGAAATAGATGGAAATTTTAGGGGTTCTTTTTACTAGAGATGCTGCCAATGTATGCTTGGCTACTGAGCTATCCTTTAGGCAATTTGTCACATTATGCTCTTGCAACTATGCAAATATCAAAAGAGCAACATGAATGAATTTCTACGTATAGCAATTATTTGACGCCGATGCGTACATGCGATTTTGGGCGTGGTAGGACTTTGACACACCAAATGATACTTGGGGATACACCAAAGGATACTTGATGAGACAATACTGGACTAGAATCTCGGTACTATTTCGGTGTGTGAAGATGGATACGCACATTTTCTTGAGCTTTTTACGTTTATGTTTACGTGAGCCTGAAAGTAATTGGTTATTGTGAAACAGTATCGATCAATACTAGAACTGCGTAATCTTTAGAAGTTCGGCCTTAGGTTTTCAAAATTTGTCATAATATGTAAGAAGTATTTCTATCAAGCTCGGCAACCATATCTATCTGTTGACAATAATAATAACAATGAAGGACGCTGTGCACATGGCTGAATTTGTTTAACTCTCTACTAAGCAAGTAGTGAACGGCTGTGAAGACGCTTGACGTTGAACTGCTAGGCCGCTCGATTGAACTATATCTGCCTCTTGCTATCCGCCACTTGTCATTCGCTCATTATCATAGTGTTAAACATAATCAAGTCCTTTCTCCCCTTTTCGCCCTGATTGTCAACCCCGGACACGCATTCGCCTTGTGCTAGCTTTGGCCCGTCGTCCAACTTTATTACAGTGCGCGGTCAGTCTGAATCCGAAGGACGAATTCGGATAAATAGACGGTTGAATGAGCATTGCATGTTCTCTATCGCCTATGCTTTCCGTCCGCCCGTCAAAGTTATTTTGAAGGCGAGGCCTAGGAAGTCAGCCGAAGGTCTTCGCATTTGCAGCCTTGTTCTCCTTGCTGTTTCGTTCTCCACTTCCTAGGTCTCGTATACGCTAAATGTGTGTCTATGTGTGTGCACTGCTGCCTTGCGTTGCGGTTCGTCAACGCTGTCGTCGCCGAAAGTAGCGGAGAATCTGGCCAGGACAGATAGGAGGCCGTAGGGGAATAGTGATCAAGGCAAAGCAAGCGAGCGTGATCGGGCGTAGGCACGAATTTAAATGTTTGTGACATTTGTTAGCGACGAACGTCGAGGTCAAAAGTTGTAAGGACACCACAAGAAATCGTCGACCATCACGGCGTTGTCGGCTGCAGCATTGCTAAAGGGTGTAGGAGCAGTAGAACCGGAACCGGCCAAAAGTAGCACTGCCATTAACTGCGACTGGCGAGCTACGGGTAGCTACCCATAATCTATGGAGTAAACCCGGCCGGAAAGCCGTCCGCTATGAGGCCGGTCTGGACCGGGGGGGGGGGGGGGGATGCAAGGATGGCTAGCTCAAGCGGTGGAGTAAATGGGCCAGATCGTGATGGTGAGCCTCAGCAACAGGCAGGCAATGAAAGTCATCCTTTTTTGCTATGTACTTGAAGCTTGAGAAAAACAAACCCGATTTCCTTTTTCTCTTCGTGTTCCTTCTTTTTTCTTCTCGTTCCACTACTTTTCCTTGTTCTGAGAGCTTGCAGGCAACGCACTCGGGGTGCGTCTGAGGCAAATGGATATCGCTGAACCTTGGTCTGATATTCGAGCGCTGGGATGCAGGGCGTAGGACAGAGATTGTAACTAAGGCAAAAGAAGAGCAATATAAGAGAGTTTCGTTCTTCATGATGACTGATATGATACGCGTGGTACAACGCAGTTGCTACAGTTGGATGAGTAGCGGTCAAGCCTTTGCTGTACAACTGATTTGGTTCCTTAGAATAGTGATCGCGATGTTGCTAGGCAGGTGAAGTTGATGATCGAGCAGTGGCTGGAAGCAAGATGAATTTTGCGACCCAAACAGCTGTCTACAAAGCACATCCCAAATGGGATTAGGCCTTGCTAAAGCAACATTTTGTGCGCACGAATGAAGCTCCTTCAGTTCTAGAAATAACGTCGCTGGAATGGGGTTATTTAATATACTAGTAACTTTATTACAGTAAACTGGTTGCTCGATAGATTTCAAGAATCACTTCACTGATGTGGCAGCAGGCCTACAATATTTGAGTGCTCACAACTGACCTAATTTCACTTCCCGCACTGTCGTAATAACACTGGAACCTATCAGGACATATAACTAAAAAACAAGGTAAGAAAAGCCTAGCGACTGAGATTGTCTTGAGACTGCCGTCGTAACTTTTTAGAAAAAAAAAATATAGCTCTCAATAGAGAAGCAGTTTCGTGATTTTACTCTACCACTTCATATGAGTGGCCTATTAACATTCGGAACGTCGTTTAATGGAACGTACACACTTACCAAGTCATGCAATGTTTAGACTATCCCTTTTCATTAGCGTTGTTGCTTCTGTCACGTACAGACCTGCGTCTATTGATCCATTCAACTAGAGTCAGCAAATTCATCCATTTAGAGACTCATATAACAATTATAAAGCAAAGCAAAAGTCGATCTCAGACCCAAGCTTTACTCCTTAAAGGCCCCTTTAATAAAGCCTATCCACCAACAAACGAGAGTGGGTTTGGCTAATTCTTCGAAGCTTGTTCAATGCATCTGGTCGCTCAGATCAGTTTCAAATGCCTTCCTACTAAGACCCTAATATCTAAAAGTATTTGATGCCCACAAAATAAACCGCTCAATCAATGTTCTACAGAAAGTATTTGCCTTTTTGTCACATCTATTATCGAAAACTAAAGTTCGCAGCAGTAGAACAGCCGAGCCTGAAACAGGTGTTGGCTTGCGACCGGCAACGAAAATTGGCGTAATTCCAACGCGAACAGAGTAAAGGGTTACTGTAAAGCGATGAGAAATGTTATAAGCAAATTTCGAATGCGACGCTTTCTACATTGCAATGATGCATCGAATATAATGACCCTTATAAAAGTATACCTTATAATTTATCAAATGGAGATGCCCCAATAAAGCTCTTTGACGAAGAAGAACAAGAGAAACAATGCGTGCGTTACAAGAAGCTGCTGATCCGACTCAGCTGCTCGTGAGCCATAGCGGCGTCCTCTATCTATTGGTTCACTGTGTGTGGCCGTAATACGCTTTGAAGTCGAGCTAAGTTCATTATGGAAACACGAGTGTAAAAGCTTAAAAGAGCTTCAAAAAATACGGACAGCTTCCTCAATGACTTCGTCGAAAGTGCCATCGCGTTTCTATTCAGATACGCAACAAAGCTATTCGGAATTATCGAGAAAACGACAAACGAATGATGGATACGTAATGATGAATTGAGGTACGTAATAGGCAAGGACACGTAAGATGAACGTAAGGACATTTCTGTATGGTTTGGCCAAACATTAATATGTGTTTGTAAAAGAGTCACTATACCAAATCACAAAGACTAGAAGCGCATTTACATGAAGACACTTCATTCATTGAGTCATAGAGTCTCCAACAAATAGCGCAGCTACTTGACTCCATAGTATTTGGTAGGCAAAACTACATTCAACGTATTCAGTGTTTGTTTTTCAATAAAATTTGATTTGCCACTACGGGCTAATAATATGATATTATATTGTAGTACATCGTAGATGGACACTACGACCCAAGCTATGCAATGCGAGCACGTGGTATCACTAAGGTCTTCTATATTATTTATTTTTTCGAGTAAATACTGAAACAGAGCGTTTGACATCGTCCACAGGTAGGAATGTGTGCTAACGATCCCGTGCTGAAAAAGCCGTATGGTGTATTTAATCTTATACCATCGATTAGGAATATTTCGTTTATATAGAGACAAGCAAGCTAATTAGATCTTCAGTCCAAAGTCACGCTATTTTCAAGTTGAGAGCCGCTATCGAGACTGTACTGTGACGCCCCCATTCAGAGCGGTTTGT